CACACACACACACACACACACACACACACACACACACACACACACACACACACACATACATCTGATCCAAATGTTGCTTTGCCTTCTTTTAGATGTGTTTGACGGACACCTGTTAGGTTCCACTGACAGCCAGGTTAAAGAGAAGTCCACCATGAAAGCCATCCTTGCCAACTTCCTGCCTGGCAACAGCTACAACCACATCCCCTTCCCATTGTAAGTAACAACCTTCAGTAGGAGGYCCACAGGACCCTGACTCAGATACACAAACAAAAATCACCCATCCTTCTTATGCTGAGTTCAGACTGAACTCCTTGTTCAGTTTTCTTGTCTTGTAGAAGTGCCAACAATTTTGTCCGTGTATCTGCTGCTCAACTTGGGTATATCTTATATGTGTGATGAGTCAAACGCAGTGCACAAATTTCATTATTGTATTGAATAATGCATTGAAGAAAATACATAACACATTATTATTAACTTCAGAGATCTTGAGCTAATGTTCGATGTGACAGATAATTGTGATCCCCAACATATTCTGACTGCTAACAGATTTCTCAACTCTTTGGTAAAAACTTTTGCGAAAAATGTCTGTTAGCAAAATATCTCATGAATTACTGTATGACTGGTCATATTTTCACAAAGAGATCTTTACATGAACCAAAGAAACTGATTAGTTTTTGGAGTCAACCTAATTCAAAATGGCTTTATTTTTTCAAACACAACAGTACCTATAACAGGGTCAACTTTACTGATATTGAGCTAAAGTTAGGTGTGACAGTAGCTGGCAGTAATCCCAGGCACGCAGTGCGAGTGCTAACCACTAAACTCAACACAAGCCATCAAATCCACATTATTCTGTAGTTGAAAATAAACAAGGGGCCGTCAAACAGCAGTGTTCCAGTATTTTCCTSTCTTAAATGGTCTGACTGTGGTAATGTGTGTCGACAGTGATCCAGACCAACACTACTTGATGTACGAACATGAGCGTGTCCCCATTGCAGTGTGTGAACGAGAGCCAAGCTCCATCATYGCCTTTGCTCTCAGGTAAACGCCCACTTCTGTCCTCTTCATTCCCCTACCTCCAGCATTATTTATCTGCTCTTTGTTCTCCTCCAGCTGCAAAGAGTACAAAACAGCTTTGGACAATCTGTGCAAGGCTTCAAACACAGCAGAAGATGAGACTCCACAACCCCTCAGGTAATAAAGGTCCACAGTTCTTCTGAAATCTGAACAGTTCTGCAGGGAGAGTCAAGAAGCGAAAAGGTTCACAGCAAATCCATCACCTTTAGTAAAGTAAAGTTTTATTTATATAGCGCCTTTCACAGAAATAAATTCACAAGCTGCTATACATTCAGGGAAGGGGGGGAGGGGGCAGTTAAGAACACCCATTCAAGAAGACATACAAGGCAAACATGGGGGAACAGGTGAAACCGGTCATGAAGCAAACACTGTTGATCTACCTTTAACAACAGAAAAACTAAAAACCACACAAGGGAAGACGAGGGGGGAAAAAAACCAAAGCAAAACTTCGTATTATATCAACAATGTGACACACTGTGGTGTTTATAAAGTAGGGGTGAAAGGGTTCACAAAATCCAGTTTGGTTAATTTTTTTCTTCCTTTTTTACACTCCAGGAATTCTATCAGTAATAAAAATTTCACCATTTGCACTTTTATAAGCCTTTATTCTGAAGACTTCATATGTTCATGTCATTGTGACGGTCTTCAGTTGAAGCTATAAATGTTATTGACTGTAAATGTGGAGATATTTTAAAGTTATTTTCAATATTTCCTGGCCAAAAAAAGCTTTAAATCCTTTTTTGTTCAGAACATGAGCAGTCCTTTTCTGTCAGATCGTAACAAAATTGGTTTTCTTGACACTGAAATACAGTTCCTGTCTCTTTAAGGCCTTTTGTAAATATTCAGCTCACTMAGTCTGAATTGATTGAAGTTTAGAGACTATATTTATCAAAATGTTGACTTTGCTGTGTTCTGATAGGAGGGAAATGTCTTTTAAAGCTCTGACCTTATATGGGTTTTATGATTGGAAGTTACCATATTTATTCAAGTATAATACGTAAAATTTAATCCATAAAATCATCCATAAAGTTGGGGGGGTAGTGTTATACTCAGATAAATATTTTTACTTATGTATTTTAACTGAATATCGGCTTCATTCACAAAATTGCTGAGTCCAGAAATGAGACCGCGTCGTAAAATGCAGTTGTAGCGAGCTTACCTCTGACACTCCTCTGTGCTTCAGAGTGAGATAATAACAGATCCAAGCAGGAGACATGGTGTGAAAAAAGGGGGAAAAAGGCAGTCCTGCACCTTAGTAATGATAACGAACTAATGACATTAGTGTGTGACCRAGCCGCTCCTCGAACAACAACAAACACATGTTCGTCTGTAATGGCTGCTGTCTACCGGTGTTCTGAAAAAGTTTGTATCCCTGAAAAACGTTTCCCCACCAGAGGGGGTGCTCACGAGTAGGAAGTAATCTGCTTTCCCCCCACAAGATGGTCCAAATCTCATGTGAAGTCTCTGACTTTTTTGTTGGCRCCTCCTGGTGGAGTATGTGTAAAATGTCAGAATTCATATGATGCTGCTACAGCTGATTATAATTTGTTGTCAAAATACCTTTTAGTACATATGTTGTTAAAATAAAATGAACAGCCCAATGATCATTTTACTGAAATGTATAAAGACTGCAAAGGCTGAAAAATCTTGAAGTCTGTATGAAATTGGAGGTAGTTTGAGGATTTTTGAGGAAAAATTTTTATGCTTTTTAAGCTCAAAAAAGGGGGGTCGTATTATACATGAGATCATATTATACATGAGATATTATACATGATATCATATACATGAGATCGTATTATACATGAGATCGTATTATACATGAGATCGTATTATACATGAGATCGTATTATACATGAGATCGTATTATACATGAGGTCATATTATACATGAGGTTATATTATACATGAGGTCATATTATACATGAGATTGTATTATACATGAGATCGTATTATACATGAGATCGTATTATACATGAAATCGTATTATACATGAGGTCATATTATACATGAGATCGTGTTATACATGAGGTCGTGTTATACATGAGGTCGTATTATACATGAATAAATATGGTAAGTCTTTTCTTTGGTTTAGTTTTTTACAGGAAACATGAACATGTTGGATGGACAAGCTGACAGTCTTCCTGTCTTATTGTTAAAACAAAGTGTTTCTAATGCACACTAAGCTAAATAAGCCTGCAGTAAGAGTGACTTTGTATTGCAGCAGTTCAGAGAATCGGGTGAGGAGCAGTCCTGCCAGGCCCACTGAGTGTTTGTTGTCTCAGCAGAGCCGCAGCAACACAGATGGAGATTCCCTCAGTACGTGTTCTTCAAGTTATACGCTAAAATAAACATCATCTCACTAAGCTTGAATTAATGCTCGAACTCTTGTGTTTTTCAGAGGACATTGACTCAGTCGATAAGCAGAAGAAACAGACACTGAATCCACACATTGAACTGCGTGAGTCTTTGTTTCATCTGACGTGACATTCAGCAGTTTATAATTGTGCTAACATTTACATAACTAAATCTGCACACACTTTAGTAAAACTATGATTGTTGTTTTATCTTTGGTTGTGGGTGATGTTGTGGATGTGGGTATTATAGGTGAAGATTTGGACCTGTTTCCTTGTTCTGCAGTTTAAGATGGCTCTTGATGTAAACTGGCACCTTACAAACTGAACAAGAAAAATGAAAGAAGACTCAACAGGAAAAGAGATTTAAATGAACTTCTTTGTCTCTTTTCCAACTCAGAGTTTTCAGACGCCAATGCCAAGTTCTACTGTCGCATCTACTACGCTGAGGAGTTCCACACAATGCGTGAGGAGATCATGGAGAGCAGCGAGGAGGACTTTGTTCGTTCGCTGTCCCACTGCGTCAACTGGCAGGCTCGGGGGGGGAAGTCTGGAGCTATGTTCTATGCTACAGAAGGTTGTTACAGTGAAAATATTATGTTTTATTGCTTTCTGTTATGTTTCACACCATCAAAAAAATGTTATGTCAGACAAGGATAATCTGAGTAAATACAAAATGTAGTTTTAAATAATTATTTTTTATTAGTAACGGGAAAAGCTATTCAAACCAACATAGCCTTAAATGGAAAAAAATATTGTCCCCATTGTTAAATTGTGAAATAACTGATTTTTTATATTTATTTGGGGAAGATGGGCTAAACTGATTACTCCCAGACCTGTAGACTGAGAAAATCACGTATACAGAACCGTTATCCACAAAAAACCTTAAAACAGAACCTGAACTTTCCTACCAAAACAATGCCAAGAGTTCACTTGTAAGAAAATTTAGTGTTCATTAACTGAAATCGAGACAAAACCACATAAATGTTGAATAGATAAAAATATGAAGAGAAGAGGACCATATAACACCAGTGATTGGAGTGAACAGAGGTTTAATGCTGATTGGTCAGTCATGAAACCCATGCTGAATGAAAACCGGAAGTCCCGGTATATATATATATATATATATATATACACGATCTTCAGTGCCTGGTGCGCCCACTACTGTTCTACGGCTGAATTGCAGGCAACTCGTACAGAAAATTATCTTTCCTAATGAATTTATAACTGTTTATTATGTGTTGTGAAGGTGTTTTGGGCATGTATCTAAACTATTTTAATCAAGACATAACAATTGTCAAACAATGGATTGTAAAAGTCAATAGTAAAAAAAGGAAAACTATGAAAATGGTGTAGTGCTTTTAAAATCAGTATCTAAATGACTTATAAATTTCTTCAAATTCCCCCTGTTCACATGACAATTACTCATGTGAACACACTGATGACTTGTCCAGGGGGTCCCAAAAAACTCAGAACAACTTCTGCAGACCTCACATGACTCATTTAAGGTCAGACTAAAATGATTCAACAATAAGAAAGAGACGAAGGGCAAAAATGGCCTCCATGCAAGAGCTCTAAAACCATGGCTGAGCAAATCATACCCACAAGTCAAGCATGGTGGTGGTTAAGTGGCGTGGCTGCCTCAGGACCTTGACCATTTGCTGTAACTGTTGAATTATGCTCTCTRCAAAATCCAGGAGGACAAAGTCCCAGCCATTTTATTCTGCTGCTTATCTGTGCATGGTCAGAATGGMTCTGGTGTCTGCAGTAGTCACTCTGAACAGGTCTCCAGTCCATCACAGGGACATATGGAGATAAACAACCATTCACACTCTCACTCACACCCAGAGGCAATTAAAGCTACCAATGAACCAAACATGCATGTTTTTGGTCTGTGAGAGGAAACTGTATTACATGGCAAAAACTGGGGAGGACATGTAAATTCCACACAGAGAGGCTGGGAGATAAACRTGACCTTGCTGGGACATGAGAAGGTCCAGTTATTATATTAGGGGGAAACTACATTTTCACACAAGACCAGATTGATTGGAATACATTGCAAAAATGGTCCATCTTACCAAGTTTTTAAATCTTATATCCAGCCAAAAAGTCTTTTTGATCTTGTTTTCAGACTGATTTACTAAACAAGAACTGACTGTGTAAGAATAATAATCTTGTTTTCAGAATGTGTAAGATTATTTGTCTTGTTAGTCTGAAAATTTGACTCAAATTAAGTCAAAACTTTCTGCCAACTGAGTGAGAAAATTTTACTTGGTAAGATTCTTGAAATACTTGATTTCATTTTTTTTATCCTTATTTCAAGAATCTAAGTAAAATTTTCTGACTCCATTGGCAGAAAGTTTTGACTTAATTTGAGTCAAATTTTCAGACTAACAAGACAAATAATCTTACACATTCTGAAAACAAGATTATTATTCTTACACAGTCAGTTCT